GATTCGTTTTGCTCCCCGAAGGCCGACCAGTCCCGGTCGTCTCGCCGCATCGGATATGTGTCACTATAACACTATACATACGTCTGCTTCCCTTCGTGTGACTTCCACACTGAGACTTGGTATTGAAACAAAAAGATTCTGTGGACTGTGACCCTAATGCATCTCTCATATTTCGATCATTTACGCCAAACTTTTTATGAGAAACTCATTGTTTTAGATGCTAAGATGTAAGTACCAACTAACAAGGTTAGTACCACATGTTTAAAAAAAAATTTAATTGTGCTTCGTTGTTAGATACAAATAATAATTAGCTTAATCTCAAAGTTCAAACGAACGTATAAAGAATTTTTATAAATAACTTCATATGAATGAGATGAAGAACCAAGAATATGTTATCACAAAAATAACAAAAACATCACAAGTGTCATGGAATGGAGTACCTATCAACGAAGCTATGTTTAGTGAACAGAAACAACGACAATAAATTCAAACCAATCAGGAACCGAGACCTTTAATGTTCTCAGAAATCAATCAGATTCAGAGCTGACAAACTAGCTTTTTATATCAATTGATGAAATATCATTGACACGTAAATAATGGAAAAAAAAACTTGATTGGGTTCCCAAAAGTGTGTGGGACTGGGGGACATATACGTATGCGTAGGTTTATAGATTAACTCTGTAACATAGACCGTTTGCAACTAACAAAGATCACGAAAGAAGATGAAAAATAATAACTTTACAATTTAATTGTACCTATAATAAAAAACGTGTCCTTGTACGAGGTTCAAGGCGAACGGTAGGTCGGTGGTAAGCGCGTCATCGCCGATACAAAATTTTGTACCGACGCGACGATGGTTTACGACCCAACTCGGCAATCCATTATCATACTAATGGGGTAGTTTTAGCCAACTAACCAGTTGTGGAAGGCCATCGATACCGCAAAAGTGAAGCAGTAAAAAAACAAAATCTCAAAGTGCGATCATATGTAGGTGGGTTTTATCGTTGATCGAAAAGAATCTATGGATTTATTACGGGCATACTAATTAGCAGACGACCTTTAATTGTAAGCCTATAGTGATGACTTCATTTTCATGGTTCTGATTAAGTAGGTACTATCTTTACTTTACACTTTGACACCAAATTAGAGTAATAACAGGAAGATTTGCATAAAGAGAATCGACATTCCGTTTCTGAACTGAAAGACAATAGTTGCCAAAAAGTTATTAACTTAACAATGGCAACCTAAATTCGCAGTTACTTATAAATATTCATGTCATCATTAATTAGGTTCATCAACGTCTAGAAATTTGAGACAGGATAATAACATTGATGAACATCCGGTCACCGGCTCTCGACACATGTTTTAAAACGAGGAGCCACACGTGACACCGCCAAATATCACCAGAATTATACAACAAAACTACTTTTACTTGTGTCATTTTATCAACAATCCAATGCATATGAACGTAAAACATCTTTTTATCAGACAAATAAATTGAATCAATAGCCATTATTATATTACAATCGCTGTTTTCTAAATCAATGTTGTGCGACGGACCAATATCGTTTATACATCGTTCGCAATTATTCTTAATTAGTACCGGGTAAAAAATTAACCTTGAATCAGAGGCAGGAGTAAGCGACCGATTGAATATTAATAATATAGCGATGAGTGAACAATTGCTGAATATTCAACGTCTCGGTCAAGCAGTCTCACGCACTCCTGGCTGCCGAGAACGCCTGTTTGGCAATAGGAAGCGACAGGTAACACTCCACCATAGTCCACGACCACGACAACAAAAATGGTAAGTAAAGATTTTGAATGCACATAAAATTCTTTACAAATTTCACTTTTTATGAAGAATCCAAGACACTCAATTTCTTCACTGAAAATGAAAAGTATGAAGGAATCTCGACCAATGTCAATACCATTTCTACACAACCTGAACACAAAACTTATAAAATCCTTGTTCATTAAGAAAGCACTTAAACTTGTAGTTAATTTTTATTAATGAAGTAAAATGTGGGCTATCTCTAAATATAGGTCGCCATTTGCATTTTTAATGATACAGTTTCTTTAAAGGTCAGAAACTATCAACCAATTACCAGCTCACGAAGGAAGTTGTGAACTTTACGAAAGTATTTCAAGCGTAACTTTAGTTATGGATGAATTATCCAGTTTACTTAATTGTTAGCCGTAGGTCCTGCACTACACGGATCGAGCATTCTTGTAAAGTATCTATGATACAGGCTTTTCATTTAAACTGCTTACCCAAGCAAAAATTCTATAAATTAATTGCGCCTCATAAACCAAACCGCGCCCATTTAGCAACTACTTACAGTTTGCGTATTCTTTTCAAAACGTATAGGGCGAACTTTACATGCAACAATTTAAACTTTTTTTCGCGTCATCCGTATGAAGAAAAAACACCTATTAAAAATTTACTTCCAACATAACTTCTCCAAAACACGCAAGCTAAGCGTAGCGCTTCATAATTCGCAAGAAAAATGTCTGAATAATGTATATTTTCTACTTGCAGCCGTAACTTCATACACTTTATGCCTCGACTGGATCTTTGTGTCCGGGATAACGCAGAGAAAACTAAACACATAAATAAAATATACAACAATCATTATTTATAATCTTATAACTTAAAGAAAAACTTGTTCATAATATTAAATGGCTAAGCATAGTAAGTGTATATCTAGTCTGGATCATGTACTCGTGTTACCTATTTCAGACGCAGTCTATGAATTAAGTGCAAAAAAATAATTACCTACGTGCTTGCTCGCTTGGTACATAACTACGTACACTTTATTAAAAATTAAAAAGAATAAAGCATAACGACCATAAATAAAAATAGGAAACCGTGTATATAGGCTATAATTTTTTATTTTCAATTATAGGTAATAAACTTACCCAAAAGCTCTCTACGTAGTGAGAAAAAAGGAAAACTCCCGGAAGAGACATCGTAGCCAGCTTAACTTCACAACTTGACTGACAGAGGGAACACACTGCGGTTTTTATTTATACACTTTTTGTTTACTAACATCACATAGGAATTCCTTTATCTGTGTCGATAGGTAGCTCAAACACGAGGTCGCTCACGGGAGTCGCCCGGGCAGCCCGCGAGCCTCGTCACTAGCGACTGAGAATCCGCCAACACGTTGCGCCCCTATATACCTACTTACTTCTTGTTTTGCCTGAATGATTTATTTCACGCTCTATATCCACGAATTAATAATTATGGATTGTGGATATCGAACAGCAAGTGTGCGTTGCATACGAACAGTACACACGTGACTAACTAATCATCTTGTTCGACTTTCTTACCGGTCGTCGCTAAATATTAATTAAGTTGACCTAATAATGTTATCTTTCGGGAAGGGCACGGTCATGAAAAAATAAGTAAATTAGTCCAAGGCCTTATAGAGACCTTCTTTCTCGAGTAGGTACTTAGGTATAGGATAGAGACGTGCTTATGGGTAACCTATCAACCGACAAAGTACCTAAATTAAATACCTTAATGTCTGCTATAATCTGCTTAAACAATAAACCAAACAAATAAGCAGTTAAACTATGCTAATATTTGGCAAAAATATTTTTACCGCCTTCATAAATTAAAGTGTGAACGGCCTAAAGATTCCTTACAAGGTCATTGGTCATGATACTGTATTCGTTAAAATTAAATATTTGAAATCCTGAAAGTGATATCACAATTAAAATATTTTCGTCTGTATAATTAGGTAGATTTTGTAAAAATAAAATATCTTTGATAATGTCAAAGAAATCCGGAAATAATATTCTTACATAGACACAAGCGCCATCTGCGCATTAGGTTTGACAAACAAAAACAAAAAATGGGATTATAAATAAAGCTAAAAGGACTGAGATGAAATTAGACCTTGCCAAATATACCGAGGTCACCTTGTATTTAGCTCCCGGTAAAAGTTCGAAGGACGCCCGGGTAGGTAACCTACACGCTAAGAGCCATCACGAATTACCCCGACATATTTTTTTATTATTTCTCATGTCAAGTTTTTAATTTATATACCTAGCTTTAAATTGCTATAAATATTTATATAAAAATAACAACATGCACTATGTAGATATAAATTAAATATGCCAACCAGGACATTAACACAATGAATAGTTTTAACATTTTACAGTTTTCGAACTGCCTCCTATAGCCGCAAAAATAAAAAAAAACAATGAATTCACTTGCATTCCTAATATGTTCTTAAATTCTTTCCAATTAAAGGTACGCAAACGCACCATAATAATTTACCGATGATGTTGCATTAATTTATGCTGTGTATTAAAATTAAGGATAGAATTTAATTCAAACAATAATCGTCGATAATAACGATCGATCGTAGGTATCTATATTCTATAGCGTACAGTCTAAGACTAAATAGGCGTTGATTTAATTTTTAAATAGTGTATTTCAATATTAAACAAAGAAATATTTCATAAAAATAATTAATTTCAAATGTACCAACAGGACGAATTTTCATGACTGAAATTCAAGCAAAAAATGCATTATTTTGAATATTCCCGCTATTAAAGACTCGTTTCACTAATTAACCGTTCATATATTGCTATCATTTAAAAAATTAGCCCACTAGCCTGACTTAATAAACTAAAATACGTATGATATTTTATAAATAACATTTTTTTATTCGTTTTGTTCATTTAAAGTTTTATTTTTTATATAATTAATTGTAAATCGTCATTTCTTGCCACGTGAAAACTCCCCTTTAAATAACATTCGGTTCCTTCTACGCAGCAAGACACTGTTCAACGAAATTACAAAGCATGTCGATTGATTTTTTCCAATAAGAAAGTTTTACGTAAAATTACTGTTATCAAATACATTATTAAACAAACAAATTGATTATGAAATAAAATAACAACAAGAGAAAAAGAAACATTAAAGTTTTGCACTGACAATGAACTGAACATGAGAAATGAAACGTTTACAGTATGAAAACGTCAAAGTCTAATTTTATAGTTAAAATTTTTAAAACTGACAATTTGCATTGTAATAATAGGAAATTAACTGGAAAAGAAACATCAAAATAATTACCTATACGATGTTAGACCTTACATAATACATCATCGTCATAGTCTTATGCTCTAAACGTTCAGGTCAAAGGCTATCGCTATCGTAAAACTGCGACTACAAAATAAAATAAGGGAAAAGGAAAAGACTAATATTCGTAAGGACATAATATATCTTTTTGAGAAGTATTTATAAAATGCAGTTCAAAAAAGTCACTCATGTATTGTTCGATTTAGACGGATTACTACTGGGTAAGATTTTAAAAATATTGCATGACAATAATAAAATAGATTGTTGTTAAAATTAATTCAGTAAGTATGATGCAGCCATTGTGCAATACAATTATGAAATTATGTCTTGTTCTGATTTATATGTTTTCAGATTCTGAAATATTATACACTGAAGCCTTTACTAATGTTTGTGCTAAGTATGGAAAAACCTTTACCTGGGAAATCAAAGCTAGCCTCTTGGGATTCCAAGGTCATGAATGTGCTGAAAAAATAATTAAGACATTGGACCTACCGATTACCAAGGAGGAATTTATGAAGCAGAGTTTCCAATATTATGAGGTACTGTTCCCTAAAGTGCAGCTTATGCCAGGTAAAATTAAATTTGGAAATCCACTGCATGATGTGTGTACATATTCTATTTATAAATTCAATATTACCACTTCTGAGTCTTATTTTTATTTCACTAATAAACTATTTTTATTTCACTAAATTTTACACTAAAACTTACAAATACTTCACATTTAAGCTACTTGGTTACCTTAAAAATTAGTCATTTTTACAGATCAAACAAATATCCATATTTGTGATCATTTTTATTACTTCTTACACTGAGCTCTAAATTTTTAATCTATTATATACTACACTTGTAAGCAGAAGTATTTTAACAAAATACACCATAATCAAAAATTTCTCATACAAATCAATCAAAACTTATTACAGGAGCTCAAAAGCTAGTAGAACACTTGCATGGGAAAGGAGTTCCAATAGCTCTGGCCACTAGCTCCAGCAAGGACAGTGTGGATATGAAGATGCAGAACCACCAGGAGTTCTTGAGTCTTTTCCAACACCTTACTATGGGATCCACTGATCCAGAGGTCACTAAGGGCAAACCAGACCCTGCCATATTCCTAGTCTGTGCATCTCGATTTCCTGATAAGCCAAAACCAGAAGAAGTAAGTTGGTAGCATAAAACCCTAGCCATTGGTTCATATTCTTGATATTGTGCCCATAAATTTGTATATGTTGTTTGTCAGAAGCTAAAATTTTTTTTTCCAGTGCCTTGTGTTTGAAGATGCTGTAAATGGCATAAAAGCTGCAAATGCTGCCAACATGCAAGTGGTAGCTGTGCCTGATCCTCGCATTGAGGCTGAACAACTGCAGACTGCTACTTTGGTTCTGAAGTCTTTGGAGGACTTCAAACCTGAGTTATTTGGTCTTCCAGCTTACGATAATTAGGATAATTTGTGTTATAAGTACTTGTTGGTGCTTGTATGTAAATATTGTCAATTTGTCAATCAACATATTGTTTTTGATCAGTACTTATTATTTTAGTTACAACTACTTAAGTAATATTTTTTTGGTGTCACATTGTTAATTGATAAACATTTAATGTTTTTCAATATGTATAGTATAAAATACAGACAGTATTACACCTCTTACAAGTACCTGAATATGTTAAACATTGACCTCGATAATATATATCTAGTCATATTTGAAATAAAAAACAGAACTGCACAGCACCATTATGTAGTTTTATTTCAACAAATAACTAAACTTTACAATAATAATTCCATGTTTAGAACACTTCCCTTTGGGTCTACTTTAAATATGTTATAAGTAAATAAGTACATCAATAGCTCACACATTTTATTCTAACAAATAGTTTGTGTAATCATTAGCATAATTTTAATTTTTATATGGCGGTAAACCAAATAGTTCTGGTTTGAAGTCTGCAATGGAGTCCAATACTAGCGTGGCCTCTGAAGCGAGAGAACGATCCAGACGCGGGTCGGGCACCATGACGACTTGCATACCCGCTGCACGCGCCGCCTTCACTCCGTTGAGAGCGTCTTCGAACACCAAACACTGAAATGAAAATAAATACTGATATTAAAAATAAAACCAATATCACAATGATTATTTTAAAAATGTTTTTTATAATAAAAAAATCACAACTACTTTTTCTAGATTATTTTAATGTAAATAAATGTTCATCATGTTTTTTAGTACCTACATGAATAGTTTACTGCCTGAAGTCTGTGTCATGGACCTGGATGGATCACTTTGGGCAGATGCTTTTATTAGCCATAATAGCCCTTTCTATACGTTATTTTCATGCATGAATATCAGATTTTATGACAGATTGACAATAGTTACTTTCACATTGTATCTAACAGGTATAAAAATTACCTTCTCAGGAGCTGGTTTGTCCGGGAATTTGTTGGCAGCTACAAAAAAGATGTCGGGAGATGGTTTGCCCTTTTTCACCTCAGGGTCAGATGTTCCCCATGTTTTGCAAGGAAACAGGTTGAATAGGTCTTGATGATTGACGGCCTTCAAATCGTAAGACTCCTTACTACTGCTTGTCGCTAATCCAATAGGAACATTATGGTCGTGGAGGTGACGGACTAGTCTTTCAACTCCTGTAAATTGTAATATCTTTTAGGTATAGGTAGGTAGGTAGGTACTTAGACTTTGTTCTCTTCACATAGGTATTTAATAACAGAATTGAGCTGATTTCAAAAATAATGAAGCCTCGTAACTTGAAGTAATTATGTCGCGACTCACAAACTTATACTTAGACAGTTTCTTAGGGGTTAGGTTAGTAGTGCTTACCTTCACCAACAAGAAATGGGAAAATAAAAAAGAATTATTGCGGTTGTTGTGTGGGACCCTAAAAACTACAATGGCCTTAGACTATCGACTCATTTTTAAAAACTTCTTATATTAACAAGAAATTATTTAATACTTCATGATACTACAAGTAAAAAAGATAATGAGTTCTCACCAGGCATAATCTTGCATTGCGGAAATAAATTATCGAAAATCGCTCGAGTTTCTGTTAAGAACTCATCAACTGTAAGTGGCAGGCCAAGGTCATCGATAATAATTCCCGCGAACTCTTTACTTTGCTGACCCATAATTTTACATTTCAACTCAAATGTAAATTCTTTTCCGAACCGAGATGCTACTTGCTGGAATCCTATTGTATACAGCTCCTCTGTATCTAAAAAAGCAAATTTTCTATTTAAATAGATATCAAAGTAATAATAATGTTTTAATGATTGATTCACACTTACTTAATAACAAGCCATCCATATCAAACAAAACATGTGTCACAGGTTTGAACATTTTTATTTATTTTTACTTAATCAAATAATACAATAAATAATTTAATGTAAGACCCTGTTTTATTTCACAATCTGTACTGTATGTATGGCTTCTACAGTAATGCCATATGACTGAGCTGAGATGTTGTTATGTTAATTAATATCTTATCTAAATTGTCTGTCCAAGCCTTTACATAACTAATATGTAGGTAATTAAATCACAGCAATGGTTTTGTATACTTTATGATATAATTATGTATTATGCCTCTTACTATTTATTTTAGAGATGCAATAAGTAATGCATCTTATATTTTTAGATACTTTGTATCCTTTCTTAACCTTGTAAAATTGGTAATATCATTAATTGAATTTGTACTTTACAATTTATTTCCACGAGTGCACATAAATGTTGCATGACAGATGAATTTGTAAATTTAATAATATTGTACAATTTAATTTAATTTGATTTAATATTTGATTGAACAATAATGTTCAACTATATCCCAATTATGATAAAAGTGTGCAAGCTATTTAGGTACTCAGTGGAAACTGAGTTATGCTATTATAATATACACTCATCATTTATATGGTTAAATCATCTATGGATGTGTGTCTAGTATAAATAAATATACAACAACAAAAATAAAATTAATCACAATAATAAAATGCAATAAAGTTGTAACAAAAACTTTCACGTAAGAGGTAGACAAAAAACTCGGAAAAAAAGATAGGAAATATTTGACTATGGTATTACTAAAATTTGAATGGCGGTAAACCAAAGAGTTCAGGTTTAAAGTCTAGTAAGCTGTTGATCACTAGAGTAGCATCATTTGTCAACTCCTTGGGTACCCTGGGATCTGGTACCATAACAACCTGCATACCAGCAGCTTTGGCTGCCGTTACTCCATTTACAGCATCCTCAAAGACAAGACACTAAAAAAATTGAAGGAATATAATTTTTATTAAAAGGTTTAAAAATTATACCTTCTATAAAAAATATTTTTAACCAATTTCTAACCAATAATATAGTAATCAAACTAATTTGAAAATAATGTTTTACCTGTTCTGGCTTTGGATTACCAGGGAATTTCTTAGCAGATACCAAAAATATATCTGGATGAGGTTTTCCATTCTTTACTTCAGGATCAGAAGATCCAAATGTCTTATAAGGGAATAGATCAAACAACTGTAAGTGATGCTTGGTGACTTTCAAATCATAACTGTCTTTGCTTGAACTTGTTGCAAGTCCAATAGGAACATTGTTTTGGTGAAAATGTTCTATCAGCCGCTTGGCACCTATAAACAGATAGTTTTAAGTAGTAAGTTAACTTGTCTAATCTGTGGTCAAGTAATATTTTTCCAACTTTATTTATCATTTTACCTGGCATCAATTGAGCCTCAGGGAATAACAATTTAAATTGTTTGTTACTTTCTTCCATAAATTCTTCAATGGTCATTGGTAACTCGAGTTCAGATACAATCATTTTAGCTGTTTCAAGAGATTGTAATCCCATTAATTTAAGTTTCAATTCAAAAGTGTAATTTTTCCCATAACGGGAGACAATGTTTTGGAATGCTTCTGTGTATAACTCTTCTGTATCTATAAATAAAGATGGTGAATGAGTAAAATGGTGCATTTGTCTACCTCATACATGATATCAAGCTCATCTCAACAGATATGAACAGTTCTAAGCCCAAACTAAACTAAAGGGCTCAGCAGAATATAACGCAAAGTAGTGGAAAACTATAATAATAAGCAGGTGTACACTAGCTCTAAGTATTGTTTTACTTTATTACTACAAATAATATTCGTCTCAAAACTTACTCAGTATCAAACCGTCCATATCAAAAAGAACGTGTGTTACCGAATTAAACGCCATTTTAAATCAAAATTTATTTGACAGTAGTAATTTTTAAATTATTGTAATAAAATATTTATATTTTCATAACCTACAAAGGTTTAGTAGGATCAAAGACTACAATATTATATGAGTAGGATAAATCACTATGCACATTATCCTATAAGAATGTGGGTTATTGAACAAATAATTTTAAATAAAAACTAATTCATAAAAGCTTATAAGAGCAAAAAACGGACTTTATACCGAATAGATTACAAAATATGCAATCAATGTCATGTTCATGCACAAATTACGATTTACGAGTTACGACACGTATTTTATTTTTCAAAGAACACAATTTTGGACAGTGACAGTGACAGTTCTGTCAGTTTTGGTGATATCCATTTTAGGCAGCATAGTTTTTGTAGAAAGTATAAAATAAACAATACTATATCGAAAATAACTATTCAAACTGATAAAAACCTAAAAAGGTGTAACTGATTACAACATAGATTTCTTTAGTATTCATAAAAAACATCTTAACCATCATAAAAGTTTAAAACTAAAATGATGGATTAACATGACTCATAACCACCCCAGTAGAGATTGACACTTTATGACTTTAATACTATGAATCGATTATTGGTTTATGAAATAGTTGATAATCGATTACTTTATTTTTAATCTTTCAAATTAAAAGCCTGTGCTCGTAACCTGACCTATCCTTTCAAGTGTGGGAGAGTCATGCTTCGGCACGAATGGTGCCACGTGGAGGGAATCGACGCCCTCACAGAAAAACCGACGTGAAACAACGCTTGCCGTGTATTTCGTCGTGTGAGTGAGGTTACCGGAGGCCCCCAATCTCTCCAATCCCCAAATAATCCTAAAATTCCTAATCCCCAAAAGGCAAAATCAGGTGATCCGTTCTGCTCGTTTACCGGCTTATTTCATAAAAATCACACAATATAACTTTCTTTGGTCTAGAGAATGTAAATGATAACAAAAACTAAAAAGAACATGATGATAAGAGAAGGAACTCGCATCATTGGACAAAATCTTTAACTTTTTAATTTAAACTGTATATTTTATGCTTAATCCATGCATGTACTTACAATAAATCATACTAGTGTTCGACTGAATGTTCGGTTTCGGTTTCGTTTTCGGTCGAGTTTCGGTAAAAACAGGAGTTTCGGTTTAGTTTCGTTTTCGGCGGCAAACTTGCCGAAACTACGATCGAAACCGAATGTGCATTCGGGAGTTTCCGCGCTGTTAGCGGTCATGTTCGGCGCGTTGAATGAGTGAATTAGTTAACTATTACAAATTAATTAAAGTTATTAATTATTTTACTAATAATTTCATATTGGGATATCTGTAATCTTTATTTTTTGTTTATCAGTATTTATGTGGTTACTTCACTAGTCGTCGCCTCTTGTTCTGCATTCTTGTGATTAGGATCATAGTTTATAGGTACTTAATTTATAGTTGGTAACAATATAGTCGTTTAGTCTTTATTCTAATTTTTTGACTAAAGGGTCATAAAAAGTGTCAATGAACTGAGTTTACAAGAAATAAGTTAAAGTTTATTTGTTCTAAAGATAAGTTTTTTATTTATTTTATTACTTAAATATTAAGTAACTACTTATACCTATTGTGGTTGTGATATTAGTAACTATGTGATTTAAAGAGAAATAACATAACATAACATCATCACGCCTTTTATCCCCGAAGAGATAGGCAGAGGTGTACATTATGCCACTGTACAATGTAACACCCACACAATTTCACCGGGCACAATTTCAGACTCCGTGCTACTACTGAGAATTTTTAAAAACCCAGTAATACTTTGCCCGACCCGGGAATCAGGTAATAACGTTTTCTTTATTTTTCCCTCAAAATATGAGCCTTAGGAAGTTTCGGTTTCGGTTTCGGCCGAAATAGACACCGTTGCCGAAATTCCTTTTCGGTTTCGGTTTAGATCGTAAAATTAGTTTCGGTCGGATACTAAAACATACATATGAACTAAATGGTTAATGGTACGCTTGTTCGGTAGATTTTGAATGCATGTCTGAAATCTCAATAGAATAGTCTGGTTGGTATTTAGAATAGTTTTTTATTCTATGCATCGCAATCAAGATCGCAATATTAAAAAAACAAAAAGTAAAAACTATAAATAAACAAAAACAAACAAACTTATAGTGTGATACTGGTAACATTGATGAACTATTTTCAAAAACTTGTTTTGGTTATTAGATTTTGTAAAAAATAATTACAACACTTTTTCCACACGCTTGAATGAATCGTAATATTATGATTGATTGTTGATAAGTGCTCAACTGTAGAAATTTGTTAAGTGATAATTGTACAGTGCCTCGTCTTTTGAGAGGCTAAACAAGAGATATGGATGGCCCCGGAATGAGTTTGTTTCAAGGTGCAGCGAGTATTCACATAAACAATAGTGCTCAAGACAGACTAGAGGAACAGGAGGAACTGGAAGACCAGAAACGAAGGAATGAGGAGGTCGGTTGGTCGTAAACAATGTAAACTTGATTGATCTGTCAAAAGCTGTGTACAATGAGTGATTGTTGCGTTGTGATTGTGTTAACAACATTATAATATAGTTCTACTCTTTTTAGTTGAAACATAAGCTGGCTAATGCCTTCGATGACCTGTTGGACGACGATGAGGCTAGCTCAGTCAACAGTAGTGGCAACTATACACTGGATCCAGCTCAAAGCAATGGAGGTTGGTACATAATAGCTATCTATTCAGTTATTACTCTGCTAAATGTTTATATGCACCACAATTACTTAAAAGTTAACAGTCACTTGTAGTAAATGTTTGAAGAAAATAACTTGGGTGTTGATTACTTTGTGTTTTGTATAATGGAACTATAAGAATGTTTGCAAAAATACATTAGGTTGTTGTTACTTACAGTATGTTTCATTGTCTATTTACATTACATATCTATAACAATTACTTTCTAACAGCTACTTTGTTTCTATTTCAGTCCAACAAACAAGGACGGGTTTGCCACCAACTTACGTGGAGTCTCTAAACCACTTAAAAGAGAATCAACATGGTTCAGAATCACCCAAGTTGTACTGTGAGACTCCCAAAAACCATGTTGGCCACATGAGACATCAGGAGGAAGCTTTGAAAGCACAATTTAGTCCCTATGGAGCTGGTGATGGTCAAAACCATTATTTCCAACAAGAATTTAGAGGTATTGTTGTCTTTTTTACTAAATTCTGTCAAAGTTTATGTTGTATGAATTTTATCATTAGAAATGTCTTCAATAAAGTATGTATATAATAGTAATAAGTATGGCTAGACCATAGCCATAACAAACACAACAAAGCATATTATGTATTTAATGTTGTGTACAAATTTTCAGGTCACATGAATGGCATAAACAACTGTGACAGACAGGAATACATGAACAATGAACAACTTAAAGTTATGTATGACGTAAGTAAAATTTTTTTTTTTTTAAATATGTTGCCCCACACTAGGATTTTCTCATGTGTCGTGGGTGCGTTTACAAACATACAATATCAGATACACATGACACCCAGACCCAGAACAACAATCTGTGTCAGAATAAATCTTATACTATTATATAAAGCTGAGGAGTTGTTTGTTTGTTTGAATACACAAATCTCAGGAGCTATTGGTTCAAATTGAATCCCTAATTTATTTTGTGTTAAATAGTCCACTTATCGAGAAAGGCTACAGGTTATAAAACATCTCGCTACAATCAATAGGAGCAGAGCGGGTAAAACCACGGGGGAATAGCTAATCCATTATAAATAAATTAATATCCGTTTGCTAGGTACCACATGAATTATAATATACAATAGAAAATACATTGTGTTGCATGTGGATCCACATTACAGTACAACAACTAAATAAAAAAAATTATGATTTCATATTTGGATTGTTTTAAGTTCATGTCTCTTACTAGTCTTACTTATAAATATGACATGTTCTATGTATAAACAGATCCGAGTAAAAGAATGTCAGCAGTTAGCTGGGCAGTTGCAGAAGCTGGACACTGAGATAGACAGCTTACGCGCTCGTCTCGCTGCCGCCATCAATGACAGAGACAAGGTTGAGTTGTCACTTCAGGAAGCTCATCATTTGCTTGGTATTATTTGTTACTTGATTGTTATTCTAATTCTTAAGTGGTGCCTGATTTTCTTCATTCAACTGAGTTGGTGTTTGTTGTTTAAGCATATTTATAAAGTACAGTATTAAGTGTAGTATATTTAAGCATAGCCTTTAAAAAAATTACAAACTTCAATAGGATCTGTTGGTTCCTTGAAGAAGAAAACAAAAGTGAATTGTATTGATTTTTTCCAGCATCAAGTAAGCACAAAATTATTGAGCTGGAGCAACAAGTAACAGCCCTGACTGAGAAGTTGGTGGAAAGTGACCAAGAGAAGGAGCAGCTCAAATTGGAACTCCGCTCAGCTAATATTAGCCTACAGGATGTACAGCAAAGACTTCATACTCTACAGGTAGGATAAAGAGTTCACAAACTCCTTTTTGTATCCATTAGAAAAGGTTTTAGTTTTTGCTTTAGTGGTATGAAGAAATAATTGATACAAAATCTGTGTTTACAGGTGGCCCATACACATGACACCGATGCTTTATTCAGGGAACAGCAAGATAGGTATGTATTCCGAACAAAATGGATAAGATATAGGTAGAATAATAATTTTACTAAACAACACGACATTTTTTCAGACATCGTGATGAAATGGAAAGACTACAAAACGATTTGACTAAAGCTAAAAATAGACTAGACGAAAAAGTAAGTATAAACGAAACACAAACATCTGCGAAATTTCAATAATGTTATATTTTCATACATAATACTACAGTACAATTAATTTTGTAAATTCATAGGACAACGAAATAAAGGCACTAGAACGACGATGTATGGAGAAAGACAGGGAAAAGGAAGACATTTTGATAGAAAAAGGCACCACTATAAACAGATTAGCCAGTGAACTAGAGGCTGCACAGAGTAGACTTGTGAATGGAGAGACAACAAAGCTTAAAGAAAAAGTGTCTCAACTAACTACTGAAAGAAATGCAGCTAGAGAACAAGTGAAGGAGATGGGTGTAAGTTTTGAATTAAGATTATAATAATGACTAGCTGTTACCCGCGACTTCGTCCACATAGAATATGATTCCTATTTTATCCCATGGGAGCATTTAATAAGGATAAAAATGGGGTATCCTATCACCTAAGTCATCCCATACCAAATTTCATCAAAATCCGGTCAGTAGTTTCAGCATGATTGGCGGACAAACATCCAAACAAGGAAACTTTGACGTTTATAATATTAGTGTGATTATTTAATTGTTGGCTCAATCACAGATTTTTTTTAAATCCAACTGAATTACTGACATACTGTGAGACAAAAGTTTCCTTCCTCTCCATATCAAAAAAATAATGTTTCATTTTTAAATTAACACTGCATATCATATTATTATTTTTTCTAATTATTGTTTTGAGGACATAAAAGACTAGGAAACATCCAATCAACTTGACATTAACACTCATTCTTTTTTTTCTTCTTTGTTCTTTGAATTCGGTACAATATAAATATTCTTGTTACAGTCCAAGCTAGAGTTGACGGCACATGAGTTAGTTCTATACAGAAACAAACTAGCTGGCACACAGAAGGAATATGAACACTGGAGAACAACACTACACCAAATTCTAATGGAGTCTTTGCCTGAAAACACTTATATTGGTAAGTGGTATACTATGCTGAATATTGGTGTTACGGTCTTCTCACAATAATTGAATCAAAGAAACAATGTTAACAAGAATATCGTATTGTGAACCTGATTAAAAAAGAGTAACCTATGGAGTTTCTTGCTCGTTCTTCTACATAGGATTCTATCCTTTGGAATGACTACTGACCGACAGACTGACACTTTAAATATTTAAGTACTTGTTTGACGTTCAAAAGTGCTTTCCTGGTCTAATTTAAATAAATTATTTTGACTATGCTTTACTGAGGAAGAAAAACATATTGAGTTTACTGTTATAAATTATAGAACAGTTAAAGCACTTCTAAGACAAGTGAAATAAATAACCAGGCCTCAATAAACATTCTCTTATTTTCAGGTGAACCACCATCTCCAGGAAAATTGTCAACTCTCAAAGAAGTTTTGAGCAGATACAAAATACAGATGCAAAAGTTATCGACATTACAGGAAGAAATTAGTAAAAGGTAAGATGGATCAAATGTTATGGGGTACCTCAAAATTGATAAAATTTTCTTTTTACGTACAAAAATGTTCTTTGTACATTTTTAAGGAAATTTAAGTATGATATTAATTTCTTATTTATTACAGGGATAAAAAGATAGAACAGCATCGCAAACAAGAATTGGATCTTCGGGCGAAATTCGATGAGCAGAAAGGTCTAGAGATGCAGCTCAACTCTCGTATGGCGGTGTTACAGAACAAGCTCGAGTTACTCGGCAGTAGCTCTGACAGTGAACTGCTAGAGAACTATAAACAGCAGAATAAAAGTCTACAAGCTGAACTAGAAGAAGTTAGGCGTGAATTGAAAAATGTTTGTATGAAACACGACATTAAAAATTTACTTATTATAGACTATATTGCCTGCATAGACTTAGTTTATGTTTATTATAAATCAACATTAGGCTAAGTACACTGAGGTAAAGGCCTTCCCTCCGCGGCTTCGGGAAAAAGGGCTTGATTTTACCCTTATATAATAAAATATAATTACCTATAAAGTATTTATTTTATGTCTTGTTCTTTTCAGTTGGATCTGAAACACACTCAACTAGAATTAGACTACGAGAAGCTCAAATCAGAAAAAGGCAGCCGCGCGTCTATCGTGCAAGAAGCGAATGCAGATTTGTTGCGCGAACTGGAACGTTATAGCTGCCAGCTCAAAGACACGCTCAAAGAGAATGGGGAGTTGAAAACTTTATATCTACAGGTAGGTCTATCTACATTTATACATTTCTCAGCCAGTTAATTATGTACGCTGAATACGGGTTTTTTTTGGTCCTTTTTTATATTAAGTGCTTATCAGTTGATGTAGGGATTTTAAACCTAATCGATTTGCAGTAAAGTTTAAAATCTATTATCTAGTTATGACAGAAAAGAAACTTAAACTGTCAAACACCTAGCGGTCACCGGTGACCGCAACCTATTGTTCTATAATTGTGTCTACAATGACGGTACTCGACGAGTTAACTAAGTGATCGTTAGATGTTGATCCATTTATGACAATGACATTATGCATTGATAAATAATATTGAATTCCAGGCATGTAGCTCTCGCGACACAGTCTCAAGGGAACTAAAGGACTTGCAATCAAAAATACAAAAGGAGAAGGAACTCTACAAATCACAAGAGACGGACTATGTAGAGAGAATGGAGAAGCAGAAGCAGCACATAGAGAAGTTGATGGCAGAGTTGAACAACTGTAAAGAGGAGTTGGATAGAGCCAACAAGAGAATATCGGAGTTGCAGAGGGAGTTCACTGATAAACAGAGAGAGTTCACTGAGAAACTTGATAAATACTTACAAGGTTGGTATTTTAGACTATTTGTTTATTAAGTTTGATATTATTTTTTTTATAACTATCGTAAGACATACTAAATTAACTAAAACTCGCGGGTTACTTAAGTAAAAATACGTGCGCGGTCGCGGTAATGTCGCGCAGCCTAATAGATAGCGTTGGCGCTTGGGTCAGTGTCAGTGTGGTTCCTTGCGTTTGCTCTGTGCTGCTCATGAGGAAGAACCCTTCTGTGGTTCGAAACTAGTAGAACTTTTCTCAGTATTTTCTAAATAACCCGCAATTTTTAGTTAATTTGATATTATTTTTTGATCATTAGCATCATGATATCAGCCATAGGCTTTCTACTGTAGAACATAACATCTTGTACATATATTTATTGATAAGTACAGCAGAATAATACTTGGATATTAGACAATTGATTAGGTATATGACATGGTTGCCGACTTGCCGTCTTGTAATTGGTCCCTAAATCAGGCAAAGTATTATTTTTAGCTTTTTTGTGTAGGGTTTAATCCACCTTCAGTAAGCTGAAGGTACACATATTAAAAAACTCCAGCATTATTTGTGTGTGTCTAAAATACTTAATTAATAAACTTTATTCTACAGATGAAAAGTCAGCTATGCGAAAAGAGAGGGAGCCGTGTGCGCACTGTGAAAAGCATGTGAAACATATCAAGTATTTAGATGATCAGCTGAGCAAATGTACTATACGGTTGGGTAAGTGTACTGATGAACAAAATCATTATTCTCTCTATGGCTTTAGGTACTTTCTTACTTAAAATTAAGAACCATGCCCTTTTTTGTTATACATGTTAACTGGACGGACATTCAATTCTTTATAATCTGTATTACTAATTACTGCCCTATCTTGCCTCGATCCCCATCCCGTCTACCAAAAATCAACCGAATTTGAATTTAATAAATATTGTATTCTATTAGCGTCTCAAGAAAGCAACGAAACATTAATGAAGGAGTTGAAAGGCAAGGCGGAGTTCTTCCAGCAGTATATAATAGACCGGTTCAACAAGCTCCGGGAGCAGCGCAGTATTGGTACTAACACGGAGGAGCGTCCCACTAGTCCGCACTCGCAGGCCTCGGAACATTCTAGCATTGAACAACTGGTGCAGGATTGTGATGATGCTATGGCTGCTAAGGTATTTTAAAATGCATTTTATTGCTATAAGCATTGGACTGGCATTTGATTGTCTATGCCTAGGCACAATATGCGTAGTTGAATATTTTTTTTTTGGTTGTTGGTAATTTTTTTTAACATTGCTTGTTTTCATGATGTTATTTTTTATTCTTATTGAATTCTTTCGTGACCAAGGACGGTGAATGGAAATGCAAGTATTATGTTTTCTCCGCTTTTGTGAAATCGTAGCGCCATTTATTGTACTATGTAATCCACATAATTAGTGCATCGAATATTTTCCACTTACAGACCGCCCTGATGATGAAAGAGAAAGCAATAAGAGACCAAATAGCTGAAAAGTTTACACTAGAAATGAAAACAGTAGAAATGAACTGCGCGAGACGAATTAAAAAAATTGAGAACGAACACATTGAGACAGTTGGTAAAATAAAAGAACTGCTTGAGAGAAAAGCGAAGGAGGTTGAGGCGTTAAAAGAGTTTATACTCGCAGAGAGGGCTAAAGTCACACAGATACTGGAATCTAAAGAAAGTGAGATTTCAGAACTCATTAAAGAACATAATGAACTACAAAACGAATGCCAGAAAGCTAAGGACACTATATTGGATTGGAAACAGAAAGCAGAGAGGTACAAAGAAAGAGCGTCACGACTCGGTTCCTTAGAAGACGTTCTAAAGCATGAACGAGAAGATTTCAAACAGCGAAGCAGTTCTACGAGTAAAGAATGCACGGCAATGAAAACGAAAATCGCAGAATTGCAAACGAAAATAGCTCAATTAGAACAAAAATATGAGAAGTTGCAAGCTGAACATAAAGTTATACAAGACAAGTACAAGAATGCTAAGAAAACTATTTTTACTTATAAGGTATGCGCGATATGCAAATTGTCAATACTTTTAGTTTTATTCAAACATAGAAATGAATATATCATAGATAAAATAATTATTTTACAGGATTATGTAACGAAAAAGGATGCTCACGTGAACAATGAAATGAATAGAATACAAGACGAGTACAGGAAGATATTCATAAAGTTGCAGAGTCAGTTGAATTATCACATCAACTGCAGGCTGCAGGAAGAGAGGAAGGGGAAACAAGCGCAGGCGCACAACTCGCAACAAACCGATGTAAGACTTCAAGGGATTATTTAATATTAACTCATGTTAAATTACCTAAAATGTAGATAGCTTATAACACGTGTTTACAATTCCAGTATACTGATAGAATAAACAAACTCAACGATGATTTCACGCGACTCACACAGTCCAACTTTATGGACGGACCAGACTTCAAGTGACAGCGGACTGACTGGAAATTGCGAGTCACGGTCACAACCAAACGACTACTTCAATATAAAACACACAACGGCCCCAACGTTTGTACTTAATGTAGTTATACAAACATTTAAAGTATTATGAAAAGTTTTAATAAGGATAATGCATGGCATATTTCTCAGGGAGAACTGATATAACGTTAAGACTGTATAAAAAACTATGACAATCGCTCAAGCCCCACATAGTATAATTTTATAGAATTATCAGTTTGGATTAAATTTAGATACCAGATCATTCCATTAACCATTTAGTGAATTGTTCCTGTGATAGTTAAGTACATTGTAGAGTAATGAAATGAGAACAGTATTACACAGTAAAGTGCAAAAATATATCTCACATTCCTCGAGACATGTCCAACTTGTATGATCATGTGAACACACAGGTAAGTACTAAGTGTACCTGTTTGTATCTATGGCCTTTTTTAAGAAAAGACTTGTTATATTAATGTAATGTTACTTTCAATTATTATTGTGTTAAATAGTAATAGCAATTTCAATTGTTTTCGTTAAGAAAAATGACGGAATTATATTTTATTGTATTGAATGGAGCAATTATATCTGTTATGTAAAAAGTTTTGTAAATAAAAGTATCATTTCATAAAATTAATTCTTTATTTTTTTATGTAGTACTTTGAAGGGACAAAAGGCATTTTAGCGACGACGCAGGGAATGTCTTTTCCTCTAATATTTACTAAGAGCTCCGTGCCTGCCTTCTTCAGAGACTCGCTGACGTATCCCATCGCAACGTTAACTCCAAGTGATGGGGCAGGACAGCCACTAGTTACAGTACCAACGGTTTCTGAAGTTTTAGCATCTTTCAACACCGCACTTTTCCTTGCTGGTGGACCAGTTTCCATCCTGATCCCCACACGTCTTCTAGCTACGCCTTCCTTGATCTGACGCAGTATGATTGACGATCCTGGGAAGTTGTCATCGGTGCGTCTGCGTTTGGCGATAAGCCACGTTAAGTTCGCTTCGACGGGTGTAACACTTTCATCGATGTCGTTGCCATAGAGGCATAGTCCAGCTTCAAGACGCAACGAGTCCCTCGCTCCAAGGCCCGCAAGTTTTACGTCGCTGTTTTGTAATAATGCTTCTGTGACGTGTTCTGCATCGGCAGCGGGTATTGATATTTCCACACCGTCTTCCCCTGTATACCCACATCGAGTTACACGACACTCTACTCCGGCTACTTTGCCCATTCTAGATGTCATAAACGTTAAGTCTTCCAGCTTAATATCCGTAAGGTTCTGCAGCACTGCTGCTGCTTTAGGACCTTGCAATGCAATCAAAGCTCTCTGGCTAGTCTCCCAGAATTCTACATTCACGTCGTTACCTTTCTTCCTGAATAACTCCGATGTTTCTCTCATATGCTTTTTGTCCTCCTTCATTCGCCCAGCGTTGGAGACAACATACAATGTTTCTGCATTCACTTTTGTAACAATCAAGTCGTCTATAATTCCACCTTTGTCGTTCAAAAACACGGTGAGAGAACTGGAGCCATCTTTCATGCCCTTTAGATCGACTGGACAAATAGACTCGAACCAAGATATACAATCCTTGCCACGAACGTTGGTCTGCAGCATGTGAGACACATCGAAAATTGTAGCACTTTTTCTTGTAAACAAGTGGGACTCGGATAAACTTAAATCCGAATATTGCACTGGCAGGAGGAATCCGGCGAAATCAACCACTCTTCCTCCATATTTCGTATGCAAATTGAATAATGGTGTCTTAGTCGCCTTATGTTCGTCACTAAACCACCGAAACGAAACTGCTCCTGGAATGATTTGCTTGGGAGCAATTACTTTTGGAGTAAACAGAATTCGGGTACGTGCTATCGAACACATTTTCACTGTCCAAACTCTTGCAATAATGTGATTACACCATCGGACGGCCAAACAATATCTATAGTCGTTATGAGAAAAGGTCAGCGGTCAATCGGTAACTCCTGATAAGTATTAACGCTAGTTCGTTAGTGGTGGGAGTGTTTATTGGAAACATTTTACGCTATCGAAAACAAATAGTGAGCTAATGAAAATTAGATCTTGCTCCAATACGATTCAATATTTAATAATTAAGAAGGTCGTTAACATTGTTTGTGTACTCTCATTACAAAAAAACATAATTCTAGAACTTCAATATTCAACACAATTTCATTCTTCAACATTATATGGCTATTGTTGATAAAATGAAATGAGACTGCCTCATTGGCAGAGTGGTCGCAAGTGCGACTGCCGGGCAAGGGATCTCGGGTTCGATTCCCGGGTCGGACAAAGTATTACTGGGTTTTTGACAATACTCAGTAGTAGCACGGAATCTGGAATTGTGCCCGGTATATGGCAATAGGCTCACCCCCTATTACATGGGGCTCATAACGTAAATAGTGGAAAGTGGGTGTTGCATGTGGCATTAAGTGCCGTAATGTACACCTCTGCCTACCCCTTCGGGGATAAAAGGCGTGATGTTATGTATGTATGTATGTTGATAAAATGAAATGATTACGAAAGTTTCTGTTAAGAGGGATGCGTGTACCTAATAATGCTGATAAAGGTCACCACTCAAGGAGATATTAAGTTGACCTCTTTGTACATAGACAGACACTCGCATGCGTTTTCGTGAATGTGATAGAAGCTAAAAAGTGTGTAAGGGACATAGGTTTCTTGATGTGTTTCTGGCTGTGTGCTAAGGCGTCGGTGTATGTGTATGATGATAATATGATGTAGATGTTAGGATGTTAGTATACTCAAAAATGAAATAAATAAAACAACATTTCAAAACAAACAAAATCTATTCTAATTTCTTATCTTCTTTACCATTTACACCATCATTTAATAAATCTAAATACTCGTCCGGTGTCAATAATTCATTTTTAGTAGCTTCAGAAATAGCAATGCTAGATAATATTATAGCAATATAACCATCAGCATCGGGAAACTCCTTCAAGAGTTCAGGGTGGTTCACTAACTCTTCATTTACTTCTACTAAAGTACCTTTCATACCACATGGAACATCAAAACTTGTGCCGTCTTCATATTCTATCTTGCAAACAACTGATTTAGGATTTAGAGCCTGACCTCCTTTCTTGCCCTTACCCTTAACAGCATTCTTCAACCTGTTTACATTACCTACTGTATAATTAACTTTGTACTCTTTGCTCTTACTAAAAAAGAAATGACTTGGTGCCAGGCACAAGAGGGCAATTCTGTTTGAATGGAACATAATCATGATGTCATTATTCTTTACTCCGTCAACATTTATAATGTATCTCTTGCTAAAATATCTCTCTGTAAATGACTTAAGATTGTTTAGGTCTGGTATTGAATCTAGTATGTTAGGCTCCATTGTCGTCATGTTTAATAAATGCTGTCAAAATGCTGTATGGTTAAGTTAATGCTGATGTTTAGCTCTCTCTTGTGCTAATATTCTGGCTCGGATTTCTGCGTGTCTACGGCGAGAGTCCTCGAGGTTAGCTTTCTGTCTTTGAAGGCGCTCTGCTTTCAAACACTTTCTCATATCCCGATCATAATCATTGCAATATCCCATAAACTTTCTAAATGGATGCTGTAACAAATAATATATCATGAAATTATTTGCTTTGCATTCGATACTGATCAAGTCGTAGACGTCCTAAACTATGAATGAAAACAATGTAGCGTGAACAAAGAGGTTATTATTTTCAAATATAGGAACCAACCAAGGTCTGAAAAAAGTAATTGCTTTAAAATATCTCTTGTTATGTACGTTATTTTTATTTCACTCGTTATGCAATATTATTTTATCTTACAGACCTACCTCTGTATGGCAGTCCATCAACTTTCGTATCAAAACATTGCATTCGTCTGTATGTAAATGGGCTGCTAAATCTGTGTGCATAACTAAGTATTTATTGTATATCTGTAAATATAGGATGTATTTATTATTAAATTAACCTTATATGTCTGCTTTCCAAAGGCTTATTTAAATATTGTCTGACTGAAACCAAAACTGTTCAACAAGCTTCGATTTAGGTTGACATTTGTTTGACAGTTTGAAACTTGACAGGCATTTTTCATTCTTGTCACTTCAAGCATTTGTAACGGATATTCGGATATTACACACCAAACCATAGAAAATGAATAAGAATAGAATAAGAATAAGAACGTTTATTTGCACGAAGTATGGTAATTACAGGTAGTAATAATTATAAAAAATAGTCCTACATACATCGCCTACTGTTTTCGGCATGCAAAGTTAAGTTTTACAATATAATAAAGTTAAAATCTTACATTCAATAAAACCAATTACAAAAATGCTTACAACTAGAATAACATAATTATTCCTCCTAACATATTATTATTACTTTTCTTTATTCACATATTTATCATTTTAGTGACTTACTAAATAACAACACACTTAATATTGCACACTTAGTATTTATTGCACACATTAAACTTTCATTGTAAGAAACTCATCTAAGGTGTAAAAGCAACCGTTGATTAGTAGTTGAAACACAACGTTTGCGTTGTGTTTCGTCGTGTGAGTGACCAGAGGCCCAAATGCTCCCCTCCCCAGTCACCTCAATCCCCGAATCCTCCACAATCCTCAAATTCCCAATTCCCAAAAGGCCGTTATCGCACTTGTAACGCCTTGGTGTTGCAGGTGTCCATGGGCGACGCTGATTGCTTACCACCAGGTGATCCGTCTGCGCGGTTACCGGCTTATGCCAATAAAAAAATTAACATAAAAAAAAACATACTTGTTTATGCCAGATTTTTCTCGAAAAATGGCATGTTTAGATCTCATATTGATCTGATCTCAAATTACATAACATAACATCACGCATTTTATCCCCGAAGGGGTAGGTAGAGGTGCACATTATGCCACTGTACAATGTAACACCCACTTTTCACTATTTATGATATAAGTCCCATGTAATAGGGGTTGAGCCTATCGTCATACCGGGCACAATTCCAGACTCAGTGCTACTATTGTAATACCTTGCCCGACTCGGGAATCGAACCCGAGACCCCTTGCCCGACAGTCGCACTTGCGACCACTAAGCCAACGAGGCCATCATCTCAAATTAATTTCTTCTTATTATTCAAGTTTATCGGCACTACCATGTGAATTTTACCAAATAAACGATTGTATCTAGGAAAAATAAAACAGCGGTTTCTTTTTATTTTGTTTTTACTTAAATACATAGTCACATTGTGTCTCTTTAATAACTAACAAAGAGTAACGGCAAACACCGTTTAAGTACGGGATTTATTAGACCTAGTAGTAGGAATACCTACATTTACATACCTTAGAATAGATACAAGAGTAACTAACAAACTTCATCAATAATGACTAGTAATTTATTGCATTTTTGAGACAAGTATAAAAAACACCTCGATAATTAGGATTGGAAGTTGTCTTGCGTTTTCTATCATCACCACTAATAAACGCACGAAGAAAAATCACAATAAAACATACGATACGACATCATTCATCTCAAAAACAGGAACAAGCGAGTATTAAGCAAAATAAATTACAGATAAATACAGAAATGCGATGTAACGAAAATAACTAGTGATTTGATGCCCGATTAGATGAAGAAATGCAAAATGTGCCCAAAATAAATGTCCAATCCAATTGGCTAAAATTAAAAAGCGGGTGTATAGTGTAGTGCGGGGTTCGTTCGTTCGCGGAGGCATCAACTCTTGGGCATGCCCTGGGGCGTGGCGGTCTCCACCATCTTCTTGTACTTGCCGACGAGCTCGGGCAGGTCGTAAGCGATGGCGACGTCGAGCCGCGTGATGGGACAGCCCCGGAAGTACGTGCACGTCGCCGATAGCTGCTGGAACTCGAACAGGGGATTCAACCGGAAGAAGTCCCGGTACGTTTCGGGGTCGGGCAAGTCGTACCTAGAAATAAAGGTTTTGATTATTTACCTTACATTACGAATGCATAACGTAGACGGTTGAAGTGGGAGTGAGAGTGTCAAAGAAAGTGGTAGTTGGGAGGCTGCTCCTCGGAAATACGAATTTTATGCTTATGTAATAGAGATGTTCACAATCACAATACTAAGCTAAGTAACATAACATAACATCACGCCTTTTTATCCCCGAAGGGGTAGGCAAGAGGAGCACATTACGACACTTAATGCCACTGTACAATGTAACACCCACTTTTCACTATTTGTTATGAGTCTCATGTAATAGGGAGTGACCCTATTGCCATATACCGGGCACAATTCCAGACTCCGTGCTACTACTGAGATTTTTTTTGAAACCCATTAATATTTTGCCCGACCTGGGAATCAAACCCAAGACCCCTTGCCCGGCAGTCGCACCTGCGACCGCTCGGCCAACGAGGCAGTGCTAAGTGTCTACTTATTTTATAAATGTGATAAAAACTAGTACTTAGGAATGGAATAGTTAGAAAATATACCTTGAGATATTGGTGAGTGTACTGAGCCCCTCATAGATGTGGTAGTTCTGAGGGTTTTCAATAATGGCGTCGGCAATGATCTTTCTGTTGCCGAATATTGTCTTGTGATTGTAGTATGTTGTCAAGTAACAGTCAACCATCTTCGCGTGGTTCCTCACGCGAACCTGTAAAACATATACAAAGAAATTTTAGACTACTTTAACAACAGAGACGCTGCCACTTATTTGTCTCTTTAAAGCCTTGTCTACTGTCTACAATAATTGCACAGTGCGGCGTTTAACTACTCTCAACAACATTCTTGTAGTTAGGCAGATGCTATTACAACATTGTTATAGTACTCACAGCGAATCTCCTAGCGCTTGCGATTTTATTCTCAATGCGCTTATCAATGGCTTGCCGCAAGTCTCTCAGGAGTTCTCTCTCCTGGGCTTGCAGCAGGCGCACGGGCGCGCCCGCCTCGTACGGCATCGACCACAGCGACACCGTGTACATCACTGGCGGCTGCGCGGAGCTCATCAGTGGCGAGATGTTCCAGATCAGCGCACTTTGTACGCGCATCAGCTCTTCAGGCTTCACCGTGTCTGCCTTGTTCAACACGATGCGTGTCTGCAAGAAGATAACACACAGTTATAAGGTTAGTGCTTTGAATGTTCTTAGAAAAAAAATGTTAAAGCATTTTCATAACTTGCAAATATGTATTTCTAAAATAGGTTGATTTATATTTAGATGACGCATTGGAATATGGTTATTTATAAATGTTACACGCACATTTCATACCTTTGTCGATCAGATATTTAGGTACCTGGCACCTAGTCCAAAACGTACATCAGGTGATGACAGATAAAGTACTCACTCATACTCAATGCTATGACAAGCATGTATGCAATCTGACATGCACTTGCACATGCATTTCCTTTGCTTACAACGATAGCAATGGCGATAACTTTAATTGGGATTAGAAAAGTTTATTTTTGCAATTTTCTTTACTACGTTACACAAAAGTAACTAAAATTAATCAAGGAATTTAGCTTTCATTAGACCTTTATCCGCAAATTACTCGTTTTTGTCCTTTGTTCATGCTCTATTATCTCCAGTCATATTTTAAATCGAAATGTAAATAATGTTCACCTGTGACTCCCTGCCTTTGAGTTGGTCGAGTATAGCTTCAGTCTCGGGACCCACGTCCAGTTTAGAAGGATCGTAAACTAAGAAGATGATGTCGGCGCGGTCGATGAACCACTGGCAGGCGTCGTTGAAGGGGAAAACACGAGACACTTGCTTCCTTACTTCCAATATTCCAGGAATTTCTACGATATTCACCTGAAAGTTGACACATATTTAAATACGTGAATCGATCATCTCTAGATAATTCGTTATAATTATCTGTGGCTTACTTGTAATTTTTCAGTCTTAGCACATACAAAAATCTTTGGGAATAATGACTTTTGAATGGAGAAGAGATATAATTATTATGTTGCGTACCTTCTCCAATATTTTGCTGGGATATCTCAAGCCTCTCAGACGCTCCTCCAACCCTTGACCGAACTTTTGAAGTCCCGAGAATGTCCAGTCAGCTGCCAGCTGAGTGCCATCTAATACTTCTGGCTCCTTGCCGTGCATGAGGATGTTAAAGTACGCAGGGGATGGTTCCGCGCCTATAAGCCAAATTGCATTCATTACAACATGTTCCTAATAGACATTAGGAAGAAATATTTGTCTAGTTGAATACATTACCTGTTCTGAGAGACCACTCTGTGAACTCCAGTCCAGTCAAGTAGTTCAAGATGCTAGATTTGCCACCGCTCCAGGGACCCATAAAGAGTACCAAAGGCTTAGAGAATATTTCAGGGTCGCCAAAATGTCTATTACTCAGATCTCTGTACTTGTAAAGCACTTCCAAGGGTTTGATGGAGTTTTCGTACAATCTCTTCAAATCTCTGAGTACGATGTCAGCGGATTTTTCAACAGTTAATTCATCTTCACTAGCATCCTCGTCTAATCGAAGTATTTTGGTTATATGATCGCGAGATCTTAGGTTTTCGGGAATATCAATGGTCTGAAACAGAAGTTGCGTATAAGTAGTTAAAGTAAGTACTCGTAGTAGGCACTCTTGAAATCGCCTACGATATTTAATCAACTAAGTTACCTAATTTGTTTCGCAACGGATAACGCAGTGCATCCATTGTGTTCATTGAGTAAATTATATCCTTACTTCCTTACTAATATTATAAATCGGAAAGTGAGTTTGTTTGTTTGTTCCGCTTTCAAGCCGTAACTACTAAACCGAGAGAAAACGAAATTATTGGTATAGATGGAGCTGTGTGTATTGGTATATGTCACGTAGGCTACTTTTTATCCTTTTGTAACGCGAGCGAAGTCCCGGGTAAAAGTTAGTGCATAATAATGTAGAAAAAACATTATTACGCTTTCTCCTCTTGATTAGGTAAGGGTAAGGCAGAGAGTCTGTTTAGGTACTGTATTTATGAAATGGGAACGACCGAGAAGGATATAAAAATGCACTTACAATTAGTAAATCTTCCTCTGGCGCTCCTTCTTCCTCCTCAGCTTCTTCTGCGGGCTCTGATTCCTCTTCACCTGCTTCTGCGGCCTCCTCGGACTTGTCCCCATCTTCTTCTTTACCATCTTTATCTGCTTCTTCTTCGTCTTCCTGTGACTTTTCTTCTACCCCTCCTTCAGATTCCTCTGCAGACGCCTCCTTTTCTTCGGATTCACCTTTCTCTTCTGCTGATTCCTTATCATCGACAGTATCTGCTACAGAATCGGCCTTTTCTTCCCCGGACTCTTCCTTATCTTCTCCTGAATCATCTTTTTCTTCTGCAGTTTCATCTTTATCCTCAGCAGTTTCGTCTTTGTCTTCTTTCGATTCATCTTTGTCCTCTACTGATGCGTCTTGTTCTCCAGATTCGTCGGCAGTTTTTTCTTCTTCAGATTCGTCAGCTTTTACTTCTTCTGAGTTTTCTTGTTCACTTTCTGCTTCTTCTTGAGTTTCATCAGCCTTTTCTTGAGATCCATCGTCATCTTCTTTTGTCTTATCATCATCGTCATCATCATCTTTGTTTTCGTCGGACGAATCTGCGGCCTCAGCAGACTTGTCATCGTCGGCTGCTTCTTGACTAGCATCATCAGCTTCTTTACTATCTTCTTCTTCCTTTACATCTTTACTGTCTTCTTCTTCGGATCCTTCTTGGGATTTTTCGTCGTTACCGTCTTCTGTAGCTTCGTCTTCATGTTCTTGACTCTCTAAAATGAAATACATAAGGTAAGTTTTTACTTATTTATTACCTATTACTTACAAAGTGCATAACAAGTTTTAACAACTACGTCAGTAACTTTACATACCTACATACATTATAAAATATTTAAAATTCATGTCAAATGCGTAGGTTGAATTAATTTAGGTAAACCTAACTTTAGAATGAACAGGGTTTTAACTACACACGGTTTTTGTTATTAAATAATCTGGAGTCCTATATGTTACTACGCAGTAACGCGAAAGTATTAGACAGTTTCATTACTTTCAAGCGCTGATGTAAGATGCTGTATATCGTTGCATATGCATACGTAATTATGCATTTTACGTACACAAAAGATACACAAGATTACTGTCTTTAGTTGGATAAATGTGTACGTGTGTATAATCAGAATTTTATTATATTTACCTTCTCCAGCCGCTTCTTCTTCAGCAGATGCTTCCTTGCTGTCTGCATCATCGGCCTGTTGTTCCTTGCTGTTTGCATCATCAGCTTCTTCTTCATTGCTGTCGCCGTCGGCGTTCTCTACCGCTTCTCCTGAGTCAATGTCGTCAGATTCAGCTTGTAAATTTTCGACGGACGCTTGGGACACGTATGGCTCATCTGCTATTTCTACAGACGGTGCATCGTCTTCCGCACTATCTTCATTTTCCGTCCCACTTTCTGCTGAAGTAACTTCTTTAGAATCGTCTCTGTCGTTAACACTTACTTCACTACTGTCGTTTTTTTCGCCAGAATCTGTAAACATAGTGTATTGTTCTTATTTCAATCTAATACATATCAAAACGCACGCACTATTTATAATTATTTTTACAATTTCGTATAAATACTAGCTATGTTAATAATACGTCCTATGGTTGCGTCATCATTTCACATGGCTGCATTTACACGCTCGGTTGTTTGGATTGGGGAACTCGTAACAATAACCTAGTTCCCAAAAGATATTGATTTACATCTTCAAGGAATTTATTGTAAGTTTCCTCTGAAATACTCAGTTTCTCTTACTAGATTTACGTAATGATACACGCGTTTTGTCCGTCCTTGACTATCTGTGCAGCCGCTTCAAAGTCATAATTTCTTATTAACAGTCCGTCACATCACTACTTTGACGCTCTCAAGTAAATTTCTACGTTGCGTAGTTATAAATAAACGTTTAATTTTAGATGGTCCAACCTCAGTATGTTTTAGAGGACAATGACTATAAAACATTATGTTACTTCTACGCATGTCTGGAATATTACAACCATTACTTTGTTGTTACTAAGCCCTAGTAAAACAACATAGCGTGCAGCTTTTATTGACAATTGGTATGTACGCTCGTGGACTGAACACTTTAAATGTCTATCAATTTTTCAGTAAGCAAAGCAAGACCTTTCTTTCAGTACCTTTCTAAGTATCTACCGTCGAAATTTATCTTTCATACTTGCAAATTTTTCACTCACGGACTGTCTATACCAGGTAAATGGCAAATCCATGATTATCTAGTATAACATTTTACTCATGAATTTCAGTTACGTCCCTAAACCTATGAAAAGAATGACAAAGAAGAAACATGTGAATGATATAGCGATGTCTATTATTTAGCAGACGTTAATATCGATGACGCGCAGACACCGCGCAATTAAAATAGATCCGACATCTCAACACCAGCAAACTTGTGTCAATCCGAGATTATTCCTGGTTCCGCTGAGGTCACATTTAATAGCGGTTACTCTAAACGTAGTTAGATATGTTCATGATGAAATTCAACCGAAAACACAACGCTGAGAACGTGTGAAATCAAACGCTTTAGACAAATTCATGTGTCTGATTTGTCCAGCAAATTGTCACGTTTTGACATGATTATAGAACGTTAGATAATAAATAGAACTTATCAAAAAATTTTTTCCATACTAATTTCTCTTCCGTGTAATTAACATGTGGATTAAATAAATGATTGCGTTTTGTGCCAAATATTTCTAAACTAATCCTGTTTTACTACGAAACCGGTAGTAATGATACAGTGCTACCTAGATGACACAAATAAATTAGGTAATTAATTAACTAGCAATTAACATGTTTTTACCTGGTTCCACATCTCCTGACTCGAGCTCTTTAAGAGCTTTTTCGATGTATGGCCGGCATTGTGACTCAGATGGTATTTCGTCGTCAGCTGAAAACAATTTATAATATTACGTAAGGTACAGTTTGCAGTTACCATATGGCTTTCTTCTTTCTCCTGGCCTCTTCCCAATAATATTAGGGCTGATACTGGCTCATACTTATAATTTACTGAATCAACGTATTTTATGGGAGGTTATCATAGTTATCCTTTTTGCCTTTAAAGTATTTATGTCTATCATTTTGACTGTCATGGTAATGGTCATCTACTAAAAATCTATCATCTTGAATCTTTGGTTTTCGTATATTTATTTTCTTTTCTCTTAAAATGATCGGCATCACAATCCATCCACCTTTCTCTGGCTAGTAGATAACTACTCCATCAAAGACGTTAGAGATTAAAGCAAGAACGTGAGTCAACCTTGTGTCTACATTTAATGTAGTGAAGATGGAGTAGTTACGTCTTAAACGTTTTGTTTTGAATTACACGGATTCTTTTTAGATTTATTTTATCGAATACGATAAATCACTTGTAGCCGACAATTTTTTTCCTATCAGCTTTTTAATCGTTGTCACGTTTATCCCAATCTGTTATGCCATCAACTTTAAAATATATCGTTTCTAATACACCACTATTAATAAAATCATAATCAAACCGTTATTTTATCATCGCATGCGGTCATGCGTCACAACCAGCTGTAGATACGTCAAATGTGAATCATCATTCTTCATCTTAACTATCCTTCGATCTATTATGATCATTATTCATCTAAATATCCCAATTATGCAATATTTTACCGTAATTTGATTTGTACTACCGTATATTTCATTTATTACTTTTTTCTTTTCTCCTGTTTTCCTTTTCTAACCAATACTGTTCCGTCTATAAATTCTATACATCTCCTGACCTATTGAAAATAACTGAGATCGTGGACTTCGTCACTTTTGAAACTGCCTTGTCTTGAGAAAATATTTTGGAAACCTTAATCTCTATATTTATTAATATTTTTAAGGAATCCAACGCAGGAAATGGGAGATAAAAAATATTTTCGAGTCGTGCTAGATTTTCTCATGTGTAGTATTTTCACCGAGCACTTTATTGTCGACCTTGGGGCGTCGCTCCACTTTGTAGAGCTGTTTGTGTTTTATGTTGCATCCTATGCTAGCTGACATTGACTTACATGTGGATCTCCCACTCCTTGTTCCACAGCTGTGCTATGTGTATCGTACGTTCTAACGACTCTATTTCTCAGATAATTGGAAGTTTTTGACTACTCTACGTCTGTGATTATTTTCTCTCCACGTTATTAATTTAGAGATTGTTTTATTTTAGAGGATGGTTAAGTACAGAGAAATAGAGGAAAAAGAGGTTTATGCGAGATTGTTGAATGTTAAATAAGATTTACAGTTGAAGCCAAATGATATGGTTGCCCTAATATAGATTTATGGGGCAAAAGGACATTAAGCGTTAGTAGTATTTTGTTGAGGTATTACTGTATCGTTGAAGGGCAACATGCGATTATGACGCGACCTGGATCCATATCATACTTTTATAATGTCGTCACGATCCTATCGTTTTTCACAAGATGGCGACGCACAACGACAAATCCCTGTATTTCTATTTACGTATCTAGCTTTGTGATGTAGCCAGGCGGCCGGCGCTCTACCTTCACTCAACTCTGTCTCATAAACAGCAGAGAATAGACAAAACCCGTTTGTAACTCGGTCACTAGATCATTTTGTCATACAAAACTTCACCTAAGGTTATCGCCAAAAATAGAGCACATACGTGAGCTTTTTACATAATTTCAGCGCAAGTTACGCCGAAAATAGCTTCGATGTAGTGACGCAGAGTACGAGCGAAGATGTGTCGGCGGCTCCCACTCGGCGAGCGACCTGGACTCACCTCGCACCGTCGCGGCGCACGCTGACGCCACCAACAACATGCACAACAGTATCCTCCATGGCGTCAATCCTTTGCTCCACATGTTGTTCAAGTTAAGCCCGCGGAGGGGCTATCAGTCATTTGCACACACACTCGCGCACCTGGTCGGCCGATCTAAGGACGTTGTACACATCTACACTGAATGAGCGCATCCACTTAATGCTGCGGCTCAACACGACTTGCACCCCTTCAGGAATGCAACTCGGGTTAAACTCGTTACCATTCAATCGCGGTTAAATGATCAAACCGAGGCTTGGCCAGAAAATTATTTGTTACACGAAAGCAATAAATAATTGAACGACAACTCTATTATTAACCGCGATTCAATGGCTAAATGTTGGCTGCAGCAGCAAGCGGTACGCGACACTGCACGTAAAGACGACGGACGTACTCTATTTCCGGAGACAGCACAGCATCGCTGGTCGGAGGGGTACTGGCGTGAGCGCGAGGCTCTCCCCGCGCCGGAGCTTTCAGCGATATTCAGCGCGGTGCGCGTGCCAAGCGCAGCCCACGACGCGACGCGCGCGCTGCTACCAATACCAACCTGCTTCACATCACAATCGGGACGCCTCAATAAAGCTTATTTTGTTTATAATCCACGTGTTTAAATATTGTTCTAACCTACAGATTTTCTAATAAACGTAACTTGTCAGTCATCATAACGAGACTAATAGAAACAAACGAAACAGTTAACGGATATCCGCGCAATCGATAGATTTGAAAGAAGCACATGCTGTTGTAGGAAAATGAGAATGAGAAATGTAACTAACTTAAATTCCAGTAAATTTCTTAAGTAAAAATATCTAGATATAAAACAGTAGTTTACATTTTTAGTTAAACCGAAAGATATCTAAAGTTGCGGGATAAGTACGTATATCTATAATTTTCGGCATGAAATACTTACCTACCCTACTACTATTAGATACATTCGCTAGGGGAAATCTGTTCTTATCTGGAACTCATATTGACAACGAAGTATTTCCATTTCAATCATAGTTTCAATTTAATTCTAGAGTAGACTTAATAACATCACATAGATAAGGATCGCGCCAAATGTCTTCGACAAACGTAATGAGACAAGCGCGATGGTAGTTAGTTGCGGTCACATAGCATTAATACCTGTCGACGTAGCAAGAACTGTTGGCTCGTGTGAGCTGATGGTGGTGCCACCAGCCGGCCAATACATCAGCGTGTCGCTTTCGAAATTACTGCACTTGGTGCAGTGACATCCTCAAAGCCAATGCCTACGCAAATATAGTTTTCATTCGGATCTATTTACAGATAGTCCTTGTACCGCAGTGTCATAGCGAGTTTATATGTAGGTAGGTAACGTTTAATGAGGAAAGTTTAACTGATATTTTTTAGTAGGTAACTCTAGCTACCTAATAACAAAATGTACCCAGCCCAGGGTCTTGAAGCGTAAATATGTTTTTTATCTAGGTATTTAGGTACGGAACTCCCAGTAAAAAGAAAGTTGAATATGTGCACCTGCATTTGTAGATTAAAAATTATAAGGATGTGTAATTATAATCCCATAACACAGAGATATAGGCAAGTAGAGAAGCATGTGAGATACTTGATCTTCACCGCATGTTTTCATAAGTAAAACACAAACCTAAACAATCGTAAAACGTAGACATTTTATGGCGCCGGACATAAAACACTGGGACGTAGAGTGTGAGCAGTTATTTAATAGTTACCTGGCACAAGCTAAATGCTAAACGTAATCGATTGCCAAACTTTTATTATCATATCAATAAGTGTGACTGTTTGGCATTTAATTCTATTCACACCTCGATTAATAGAGCAATTAAAAATTGAAATAACAGCCATTTTGTGGGCACTAGCCTTGTGAAATATTGACAGTGCCTCCAATACCTAGGGCTTTTTTAAAGCACCAGGTACTTTGCATCATTTCAATAAACTGAACGCACAAGTTTTTATAGGTATTGCATGAACCGATTTCGTACAAATAGTTTTATCGTGAAAATGAGCAAACGGATTACCTGTACCGCCCGTCCAGAGGAATCACAAGTGTAATACTAACCTTGTGAAATATTGACAGTAGGTACCTATACCTAGGGCATTTTTAAAGCACCCGGTACTTTGCATGAATTCTGTAAATTTAACGCACAAGTTTTAATAGGTATTTCATTGAACCTTACATGAATTGATTCTAAACCGTTTTCGTACAAATAGTTTTACCGTGAAAATGGCATAGGAAGGACGGCAAATGAGCAAACGAATTACTTTGGGGAAGCAGTTAGCCGGAGGGCTATACATTGTTTCGCGCCTTTTTTCTGTAAGGCGCCTATTGAGCGGCCCATTCGTGTTTATTTCTGAGACGTATCAACCTGAAAGTATCCCACAAGTGTGTTCTTATTTGTCCCGCCGATGACGCAGGTCAGGTGGCTTACTCTGGAATCCAATTCCTATCGATCGACATTGGTATTGTGAAATTTCGTACTCTTGAGTCGCAACACTAGCGCCCATTGCATCCGTACTGCGTCGATATTGAATGAACTAAATAGTATTAAGTTTGTCTTTATATTCCGTACTCTGAATGCTATTTTAACAGCTACGATTGTGGTTGTATAGTGTTAACATTGAATAATTATTGAGATTTTATTGGATTGAAATTGCATTGACATGGAGATTGGTTTCAAGAGTAGGTAAGCACCCAGGTCTGTCTTTTTGACTCTTACTGACTAAAAACCACCCCGTTCCTTCTCCCGCACGTCGAGTCGGAGCCCCGGTCAACCGTTAGGAGGCTTGCAATGGAAGAATTGTAAGACGTATTATAATTTGATGGAACGATGACGCAGTGAGTCTTGCTGAGTGTCCTCTGCTGTTTTTTTTTTTTTTTTATACGTTGCCCCACACTAGGATTATCTCCTGTGTCGTGGGTGCGTTTACAAACATACAAGTTCACATACACATGACACCCAGACCCGAAACAACAATTTATGGATCGCACAAAGTGTTGTTCCGTGCGGGAATCGAACCCGCGACACGTTGCACGGCAGCCGGTTGCCCAGCCACCACGCCAACCGAAACCGTGTTTCGCAACGTATTACGTAGGTATCGTGGGTTCGATTCCGGCACAAAGAGAAGAAAACTGCTTTTGACAGCACAGTTGGCATGGTGGCAAGGCAACAGGCTGTCGTGTAATTTATAGTTGGTCCTATTCCCGCACGGACTACTCCTTACGAGAACCACAAAGTGTTATTACGGATCTGGGTGTCATGTGAGTGTAAAATTATGGTTGTAAAGGCACATTCTCCTAAGTGCTAATGATGTGTTAAAAAATTAGGGTACCTATTTCAGTCGAAAGTCAAAGGGAAACAGATGTAAGTTAAAGAAAACAGCAAAATTAATTTATAAAATCTTACATTTATTTTTTACTTAACTAAGTTGTCTTATAATTATTGATTGGGCATTCATTTGATTGTGTTACTACTCTGTTACTGACTATGAGCAGATCCAGATTATTCCAGATGTACAAAACATGACTGACACTTTTATATTATGATAATAAAGTTTAAACCAAGAATTCTTCATTAATGTTTTAAAATGGTGTATTGTAGAAAAAGAAATTTAGATAATTGTCTATGGTTGTTAATGATCTATGATAATAAGTTCGTCTATGCTCCAGTCTTCATAGGAATGGTCGGGAAGGTAGCGTCTGATGATGATTGGAATCTTGCCATGTTTGAGTTCTTTCATAGCTATTTGTAAAGGATCTGTTTCTCCTTCAAGTTCAACCATTACAGGCGCACACATGGCTATTTGCAATGCTCTGGTACCTGTAAAGATAGAATATTTTTTAATAACTCAATAAATAAAAAATAATATTTTCTCCGTTATTTATATCACACCAAAGGCTACACCTTTGGTGTTATTTATGTATGTATGTAATACTCAATTCTTATTGTGGATAGACTTTCCATTATGGGCCAGTGACTTAGTAGTTTATATTTTTTTTATAGTGCTTATAAAGAGAAGGCTTTTACAAATTTAGTAGTTGTGGAGACTCGCAATTCACATGATATAATTTTTTCATGTATTTCCAAAATAAAACATGATGTACGAAATAGGTACAGTAAAAACCGCTTACAACGACATCGTTTATACAACGTTTAACAATGTTGTTGTAAGCGGTTTTGTCTGTATTTTACTTAGTAGTAGTAAGTGTCATAGAAGCGAACTTTAGGGCACCATCACTCAGACAGGTTAGATAAGAAGAGACTGTGATGCTTAGATGGGAGCTCCATTATGCTTTGCTCTCATGTTAGCCTTCGTGGTTTTTTAAACCACCCAGAATTAGGAGCCCCTCTCATGACGGGTAGAGTAGTGCTTGTAAACGCGATTTGTGTAAGAATAATATTATTTCTTGTTTTTTATTACTATCCGGGAAATACCTGAACTAACCTCAATATTGTGACCATGGATAACCATGGATAACCATAACCTTTCCCACCTCTTAAAAAAGGGGTGGGAAAGGTATAGGTAGTGGGTCCCTTTCACGCTCGGCCTTCCACCTCCATAAATCGATGAGTGTTCAAATTTATGGATATCTCTATAATTATGGGGATCCGCACTTTTGGGGTGGAACAGGGGGGTAACCAACATCCAGTCCCCTCCGCAACACAAACATCACTGGCCCATAATGGAAAGTACAACCAAATACTATACTAAGAAAATCACCAACATTATTGTAGGTATATCATACCTAGAACTCTAGCTCTCTCGTACTTCGTCATATACCGTGTAGTGATGCGCTTTGACTTCTCGACTCCTCCGCCAGCCTGTCCAGGCGCAAGACATTGCACGTTGTATCCTTCCTCCTCCTGCTCCTCCGTTTCCTCGATGTTATCGTCCTCCTCAGCAATGTCATCGTAATCTGCTCCCGCATCGTCAGCCTCATATTCTTCATCTGCCATTTTATTGAAGCAACTTAATTTTCTACTTTCGTGCCTGGTATTGTTGGAATATGTCGTATGTATGTAGTTACAATAATAAAGTAAAACAAAAAAAACACGAAGTATAGGTTTTAGGTTAGCTTTTGAGAATTGAGAGTTGTTATGTTGTTGTCCGTCACTGTCATGGTCATCTCATTTGTCAAAATGAAACCAAAGAGAAGATTTAAATATTTGCTTCAAAGACAAGGAAATGCATGTGAGACATCAGTTTTAATAAGTTGTTTGTTCATGAATTATTAATTTATATGATTTCATGAAATTCATGAATAATTCAATAACTTTATTTACATGTTTATTTTATTCTGACTTTGTAAAAACTAAATAGTTCCCAAAAAACATAATTGGTTTAATAGAAAACCGATGTCAGTTAATTGAAATGAATAAATGCAAAAGATAAAGACTTTTTATTAGCTATCTTTAATTTGGTTTTACGTTCAACACCTATTTACCAAAACTAATAAAATATGTACTTTTCGAACATTCATGTGATTTATATGACTCATGTTTTGTGAACGTATCGTTATCTATAGTCTATGGATAATAAAGAATTTGTGCTTGTCGTTGGATCATTGGCTGCCTTTCCTTTTCCGGTTCTGCATCAAAGCTGTAACCATGCCGGTGTGTATTTTTATTTATCTGAGTAAATTATTCAACTTTGTTCAATGATATTATTTGTTTTCTGTGTTCGTTGTTAGTTTCTGATTTTTCTGATTGTTGAATTAGTGCCTTCCCAACATCTACAGTGAAGTTCAGATCTCGGCTAAACAAGTGGATACACATGGCATTATTTGACATGTCAGATGAATAACTTATCTAAAACTCCCGAGTTTTCCCCAAAAGCCTTTTAATTTCGAGCAAATCGGAATGATTTTTGTATAATCAGTGCAATTTCAATTCTCTCAAGCTCTTGTTTTAAATATTACGAAGTGACCAAATAACCTAAATGTGCGTGTTGTGAATTTCAGCTCGCAATTGATTTATTGCATCCTTCTCCCGCGTCGGAGAAAAGGAAACACAAGTTGAAGAGGCTGGTGCCACATCCGAACTCATACTTCATGGATGTCAAGTGCCCTGGCTGCTACAAAATCACAACTGTATTCAGTCACGCGCAAAGGGTGGTCGTATGCGCAGGTTGCTCAACGATCCTTTGCCAGCCCACCGGTGGTCGCGCTAGATTAACGGAGGGTAAGATCTATTCATTTTTTATTCATGAAGCTTGACTTGCCTCATGAGCATTCCATTGTTTATAACTGTCATTTAAGTTTTATTATTATAACATCACATTGTAACTGGAATAACCATGTTACTGTGTTATCATAAAGTTTTTATAAGCTCTCTAAAGTTAAAACTAGTATTATCCTCAAATTAATTCTCAATACAAATTCCTGGCCACTCAACACTTAACTATAAGTATGTGTGTGTGTGTGTGTGTGTGTGTGTGTGTGTGTGTGTGTGTGCAAAACAACATGAGCATGCCAGTATTGAAAGTATGCTAAAACAATTATTTTCCTACTTAATAGTATTACCAAAGAACATGCATGTTTACAAGTTAATGTATATCTTTGTCGACTATTAACCTATATTTTTTATTTACAAGTTTGTATACACTATCCATTTATTTACTAGAATCTTATCTTGCAACTGATTATACTATTTCTGAAAATGTTGTGAAATAAATATCAATATGATTATTTGAACAATGCTGAAGTTCTCAAATGTTTACTTATTATCATTCAACAAATAATGTGCTTATAAATATCCCTTAATATTGTGTTTAAGTTAAGCATAATTACATTATGCACACTATTTCAAATCCTCTGTGCAAATTGTGCAACATTGTGTATGATTTAGCTTGCACTTATTGTGCAATAATATCAAGTCCTTTGTCAATGTACACACAGTTATCATTGAATTGAAGTCATATTTATGTTGTTTCGGGTTATGAAATATAAATAGTAGTAACTGAGTGTTATTATGATATGATAAATTGATACATTTGCTTCATATCAGCTGATGTGGGGTATACCTATATGCAGCAGTGGACATTTTATGGTACATATTTTGATAATGATATCTGTTGTACACTAATAATGGCCTAGATCAAATGTTCTTTTGTTGCAAAATTTTATCTTTTGCCTAAACAGTTAATAAATTGTGTCAGCAGTGAATAATTTATTCATACTTCTCCAATACTTTATTTAGATTAGAATGGTTATTTAAATTTAACTGATTGAGATTCAAATTTCAGATAACATTTGTGTTATGAACTGGTTTTTCAACTGATAATAGGCAGATTTATTTTTCTTTGACACTATTCGAGATTGGTCTCAACAACAATGTTACTTATCTATTTTTGTATTGTTTTCTTGGTACTAATGCTACATTTTTCCTTTTTCAGGATGTTCGTTTAGGAGAAAACAACATTAATTTTCCTGGAGAGAGAGCCCTATTAATTTAAGATTCTTTTATTTCCATTGTGATGAGAGATGTTTTACAGTTTGTTAAAATGAATCCAGTCAAGTACTACAAATAAAGGCTTTTTCAAAGGGATCATTGTGGTTTGATTGTTTAAAATACAGTCTTTTCTGAAAATAAAGTTTATTTACTTACAATTAACATCATTGCACAATTTTTCTAAAAATATCACATAGGTAGTCCTTATTTTAAATTGGCTTCAACAACATTAGATAATGCATAATATTATAAACTGGCTAGTTAATTACTGTAATATTTCATTCAGCTTTGTAAGCTACCATAATAAAGTTAACATACTTTTTTCTTGATTATTTCTATGCTTTTAATTTATAATTAAAACAAAAAGATTTGATCAAACAAAAATAACAAAATAATTTACAATAAAATTACTACAAAAATTTTCTAAAGGCCAGAATGCTAGAATTGTCAATCTTCAAAATATTTATTATTCTTGATATTTTGTGCGTCAGGTTGTTCCAAAAATTTTTCTGCATTCGAAATATCTTGCTTGATTTCATTTATAAGATCATCTAAAGAGTTGAAATTCTTTTCTCCTCTTAGATATCCCACTAGAGCTATTTTTAATTGTGATCCATAGAAGTCTTTATCGAATTTGTGCATAATATGGGTTTCCTGGAACAAAATCAATTATTTTATCATGGAGTTAGTTTTATTTCATCACGTTTTAGATTAGAATGACAATATGTCTTGGACAAATGGCCCTCGTAAGTACTCTATACACGCAAGGCATTTTTTAATCGTAGATAAGTAAGCACACTTGCAACTGCTATATCAACTAGATAGTGACCTCACAACAGCCAGGAAAGAAACAGGCTGGTATTGTATTCGATGCTGACTGTTCACAGTATTGTATGACTCATTAGTCTCTTGGTAAAAGAGGAGAAAACTTGGACTTATTTGTATTAAATAAGTCCAAGTTTTAGGTTTAGGTACTAAAAGTAACTACAACAATACAAAGTAAACAAATAACATAACATCACGCCTCTTATCCTCGAAGGAGTAGGCAGAGGTGCACATTACGGCATTTAACCGCTTGAATGCCTGTATATGAGACACAATAGAAATTTATACATTGTGTCTCGCGTGGATCAACGTTAAGACACACTACGGGTTAATGTCACTGTACAGTGTAACGCCCACTTTTCACTCATATAATAGGGGGTGAGCCTATTGCTATAAACTGGGCACAATTCCAGACTCCGTGCTACTACTGAGAAAGTACCTACGTAAATCTTTATTTTGTAGTAATCTTTGTACGAGACCAGATAACAAGCACAAGACTATCTGAAAAAATCAAGTTAATGCCCTAGGTGTCGCGAACAATAATGTTATCTATTAAAGATTTCGAACTTAGCCGTAAAAATTGAAAATGTTCCAAATTGCGGATGTTACGCCATCTAGCGACAAAATGGCAGTTGAGATCTTCATCCATCCTCCTTAACCCTTTAACCGCCGACAACGTAATATTACGGTTTTCGAAAGCTGTGTCCGAATCGCCACATACGTACAATCACGTTATTTTATTAAAAATCTTCTTATAG